AAGTGGGGTTTCGGAGAAAAAGAATATTTTTAATAATTCACGTACGCTTTGATATACTGGTTTCAATCCCCGGCTAAATACTACAAACAACATTGCATTATGTTAAAACATTTATGCATTTGTGGTTAGTTATATGTCGACAATAGATAAACAACCGAAAATAATACCATAAAATAATACTTGGAATTATAGTTAGTAATGCTTGTAACAAGAGAAGAATTTGTTTTTTCGACGTAATTAACGAAATATTTCATTTAATATTATTCCATGTTTTTATTATTCACATTACGTTTAATAATATTTTCACGTATAATGGTGATATATCTGTGATGTATTCATCACGAAATCTGTCATATATAGAATAGAACTTATAATAATTGATTTAATCTTTGCAATATCATGTTAATAGATGATTTATTTTTTTTTACAATATGCGACACAGGAACTGTTTTCTTAAATCTTTCAAATTTAACCCAATAAACGATTATCCTTGTTAAAATATATAATTCATATCCATGTATATTAATTTAAAAATATAAAAAATTTAGTAAAAGATTATATTTCTCTTAGCACACAGTTATAATGTATATTACTCATAACGAGTCTATCATCTCAGAGTCAAGGATGCTCTATGCTAGATCGAAATAAGTTGAAACAAGATCGTAATCAAAGGCAGGCGTGGAAAACGCGGAAACTTAAGCGCAGTCGAATAAAGTGGCCCCGTAGCGGGTAGTTGGCAAGAGGCCGTACGGGTGGATGGCGCAGAAAGGGAGAGAAAGAGGGGGACGAGGATGAATATAGAAAGAGGAGGGTTGGTAACCGCCCCTGTAAGGTACATACGTGGCATTGAGCGCCGCGGATGGTGGTGGCGCGGGCTGGCGCGCCAACTAAAATTGAATCTGCGAACGAAACTTCGGTAACCTCGTCAGGAAACCGAAGCTAAAGCCATCCATCGCCCGCGCTTTCGTTGCCGGCCCCGTTTGCCGTCGGCGCAACCATCGTCGAGTTCCGTTTTATCTGGAAGAATTGTTCCGCTTCTTGTTGCCTACTCGTTTGACACTTCTTTCCCTTTCGTGCATCCAGCAGGCGCGTTGGCGATATATTCACGAACGTTTACAACAAGGACAAAGATACAAAGATATCTAAACAAAGATATCTAACTGTGTGTGCTCATGTCTTGCTAAATTAGTTTGGGATACCGGGGATGTGTGATGAGATTCAACTCATGTTTGACATGGATCAGTTAGATTGTCACGGCAACAGAGTTTGATAATCTTATCTCATTGAACCCTAAGAAAAATTTTTCAAATGATATATGTGGGTTTGAAATATTTTGAATTTTAATAAAGTGTGTAAATGTGCTGTTTATATATTCTGTGTAAATATACTGTTTATATATTTTGCCAAGTCGAAAACTAGCTTTATTATTTTCTACATACAGAGGATTCGATTGTTCTTTGCTAAATATAAACAGAAGAATTTTAGATACTGTACAAACGTTTATTTTTTTAGATATTCTTTTCTCAACGCGTTTATTTAACTAAAAAGCGCGGATAAATAAAGTGATAATGTAACAAATACTGCATTGTAAAGTTTACCACAGAGATTCTTGTTACTTGGAAAATATTTTTCCGCAAACATTTGTGACATGATCATCTCTTTTTGAAATAATATTTTACGATGCAAATCGACGATAAGAAAGCCTGAACCTTTGCGCAATTCAATTTATGGACTAGGTCGTTCGCGAATTGCGTTTAAACGAATTTCACGTACTAATGGCCGCCTCCTTGCTATTACAGTATATCGAGCAGACAAACAACTTTACGAGCACTTACCCTTTAGGTGCTAGGGATCTATATGTGGAAGTGTGCATCCACCAGTTTCCAGAGGGTTCAGAAAAATCATTGTCCCAGAAAAGCCTTCCGATACGGAGCGAGAGGGAAACTGACGTTTATCGTGCATATCGAGAATAATAATACATTGATGTATATTGATAATTCACATAAATATTTTCGTCAATTTCTTCAATTATTTTATATACGTTTGTGTATCATTATTATTATATATAATTTTTTCTCGTGTAATAGAGTATAATTATTACATATATAATTATCTATGTGTACGATAAATATTCTAGAGACATATAATATCATTTTAATATTATTTTAATGGGAAAATATGAATGTAAAATTTTGTACAAGATTATATAAAAAAGATGTAATTATATTCTTCAATAATACTAACAAATATTTTTAAACTATTATCATATATATGCAAAACAAAATGCGTTCACGTTTTTTAAATTATTGAATAACATATCTGTCAAATTTATCGTGAGAATGAAGACATAGTTAAATGTATTCTGTAATTTGCCTTTACATAATCAAAGAGGATTAGTTACTTTGCTAACAAGAGTTTGCGATGAGAAACCATTGACACGTCGACCATTAACATTACGTTGCACCATGTGACTCGCGGCATGCCGAGGTACAATGTAGTACCACCTGACGCAAAACCCATCATTTATAACGTAGTTTTCAGATTGCCTAGATTAATCGTTCTAAAATTATGTCAAAAGTTTCATTTGCAAGCCATATATTAGAATAATACATTCTGATATCATTTCACACATGTAGTATCATTACATGTCATATGATATAGATAATTAAAAAAAAACATAGCTTTATCGATTCTTATTTCATGTCACTTTGATAAATATACTGAATTAACTAACATGAAATATTATATATTAAAATAATTACACAAAAGATTTACGATACTTGTTTTATAATACTTACTACAGGGGATATACTTTTGTTATATTTTAAACATCACCGTTATCGCCTGTATAACAATTCTTTTTCAGGAATTGTTAACTTTAGTAAAAATAGCAATTTTTGTTTGTTTTCTTTTGTGAAAATAAGTTATATCATGAATCTGAAACGGAACCCTAATTTAGTTTAACTGGAATATTCAATTGTTTCTTTTCAATTCACTCTCTTTGTTACTCAATAAAATTTTATTACCGGCTGTAAATAATGAACGGTCTTGCAGATCAGTTCAGGTATGAAACACGCCATTTATAAGTCACCATCTAACAAGTACAATTGGAATTTGCATTTCGTAAAGGAACTACGACAATGGAGGAGGGATTGGTAACGGTAAGGAAGAGAATGGTATTCGAGAAACGAGGTATGAAACACGCCATTTATAAGTCACCATCTAACAAGTACAATTGGAATTTGCATTTCGTAAAGGAACTACGACAATGGAGGAGGGTAACGGTAACGGTAAGGAAGAGAATGGTATTCGAGAAACTGGTCTTCGGAATCCGCTTTCGGTTGTTTCGTTCGCTGACAATTAGCGCGATTGATCTTGTTGAAGAACGGGGCGAAATTCGAATTCGCCGCACGCGGGAGGGAAATGTCGTGATGTCTGTGCTGGTCTTCGATAAATTCAATGCGTCCACCCTCGTCCGACCTAGCAGTCCGACGCTACGCATACTACGTGGGGGCGAAGTATACGAGGGGATGCGGCGTGCCACGCGGACTCTCGCGTCCTTGTTACGCTCCCACGACACGTACGTTCGTGATGTAACGGTAACTACTGCTAGTACGTGCTAAGTGTGCGCGGCTAGGGATTGCCCTATTGGCAGCTGTACGTATTCCACTTTTAGGATTACGTACACGTATGCAAACATAGCCGCGTGCAGAAACGTGTACCGCCGGCTTCGCCGATATGTATTATCGCGACTTTCCGCGTCGAGGGGCCGAGCGCGAAAGATGTTATCTGGCGCGCGCAAATCCGGGGCCGATCGTTTCCGCTTGTGCGGCCGACCCTCGGCAGGTTTTTACTTGAGTGGAGAAAAATTCTGGCTTGAGCGTCATTTGAGTAACGTTTACGGCGCTCTGGAGCGGCGCCAAGGCTCTCTCCCCCGGATTTCGACGCGCCCGGTTTTAATAGCAATTATGCATTTTTAATCGGCGGATAATCGCGGGATTTGAATGCTCGCGATTATTACCGGCAGATGTTGTCGCAACGTCTGCTATCCCTAGGACAAATTAACGGGAGCTAGCCGGTAGCGCGCGCGTGCACCGAGGAGAAATTTACTTCTTTAAATGCTGAAATCAATCACAAAGTTGTTGTAAAATAGTTTGGATCGTTAACTGATAGATTGCAACGCGCATTTGAATTTCAATGCGGGAGACAGGCGACCGTGCTAGATCTTGTTCCTCCACCACCCTCATCCCCTTGCCCACCGCGAGAGAAGTTAGCACTTCTTTTATGAGCGTCGAAATTGAAGCGCGAAATGGTCGTAGCTTCGTGGGAAAGTGTGTCACGGCAATTATGTATCGAAGAGTTGTTAAATTTGTAGATTGTATCCAGTAGTAAGAAAAATACATTGGAGTAAATAAAATTATTACTGCATCGCAAAATGGTGTATCAAAAAATGTTTTCGTGTTTGCGCTGTGTAAAATTTTCGCACAATCATATAACTACAACAGAAACTTTTTGAATTTTAAAAATTACCGATTAATTACGCATTATAAATATGTAATACCTTCCTGATAATTTTTCGGTAAACATGTTTTATCATTTACCGTTTTGATTGCACGTTTATTGCAATGATTATAAAAGAGAATTTATGATTAGAAAAATCGAATTTTATTTATTTTATGCGATTTTCTCTGCTTTTGCTCACTTTTCATAGTTATTATTTCATTATAGACAAAAAACTTTTTACATAATATGAATGTGATTATGATTTCTTGTTAAATTCAAACAATTTAATATCAGTGACAAAGCAATTATAAGAATGTTTCATAAATATTTAAAACCCGCATAAGAAATTCTTGCGATTGTTGTGTCCATCCAAACAGAGCGTGTTAAAACTGGCGTGATCAATAGAAAGTATACGAAAAAGGGATACATCTGCATTTATCTTATTGTTTGAACGTGGTAATGCCAAAAGCCATAAATTTCTTACACTAAAGTGTTACCTGATTTGTTGACGGGTGTCGCTGTGTGAGTGAGCGTAGCTGCTGCGGTCAGCTTAGGTGGTTCTATCTTTTGCGGCACGCTGTGTGCAGGTATCGGTCCAGGATTTGTCATGGTTGTCATCGTTGTTGGCATCATCAAGGTCGACATGGTCAGCATTTTTGCGACTTAAGATTTGTGTCGCCGTGGTGAAAGTTGAAGGATGCAGTTTTGTCACGTGACCGAAAGGAATCCTCGCGGTACAGAACAACGAAGACACTGGTTGATGCGATCGTCAATCTCTCTATTAATTTATTTTATAAATTGTGACGGGTACGGATTGTGAAGGGAAGACAATCAGCGGCGTGTGCGATTCATGCGGTGTATAAATTGACCGTGAATCTGCCGTGGAATTGCAGTAATTGAACGATCGAAGGAACGACTGCGATTTTGTGATTAAGATCGAGCACTCGTGTTAGTGTTCCACGAATATTTTATTACTCGATTTATTAGTAACTGCGAAGTCGCACTGCGAGACGTTTGTAGTCCACGATCGTTTGTCCACGATAAAAGACAATGTTGTTCATCGCATGTTACACTTCACGATTTATCGCGTCGTCACGTAGATTGCCGTGATATTTCTTTCCCGCGTCATTACTTCACGTTGTCGTATCACCGTTGATCTCGAATTTTAGTGGCGGTCAACATTTGCCGCTATCTCGAAGCCTCTCATCCAACTTCTTCCCTTGATTTCCGGATGACAGAGTAGCAAATAAACAGCGACGCTCACGAAACTGTGTTTGCGAAATCTATAAAAACTATAAGAAACTTTACTATCTCCAACTCGGTGCAGGGTAGTTTCCCTTTGAACATCGGAGCGCACAGTTGTCAAAACGATCACTCTCAATCAAGTTTGACGATCTTCCTATTTCTTCATTCGCGCACCTCTGTCACTAATGATTCTATCTTTTGTGTCGTTTCTTCGTGTTTCTTCACGTTCGTGAGCACTATTCATTTATCGCGGAAGGCGTCGAAGCGTGCTGGCACACGCGGTTACTGCGTGTGGAGGCGTCAGTGCGTGCGAAGTGCAGCGGCGCGCGTTGCGAAATGCCAAATACGCGTGCTCCGAAACTGCGAGAGTGAGCAACCGACGACGAAAATTTATGTAGGACACGAATAAATATTTGCGCACCGATTAAAATGATATTGACGATTGTGCACGATGTAATCGAGAATCGGTCGGCGGCGATGTCGGTGGCTGCAACGACAGCGACGTCGTTCTCTACGCTCTCCACGCTGCGCGCGTTACGTCACGTCCGGCCGAGCGTAGAGTCGGAACTCGTCTGGCGGGGAGAGCGCGAAGGGATGCCTGCCTTTGCCTGCCTGCCAGCCTGCCAGCCCTGGACGCCCGCCGTCGCGACGCCCAGAGGCGCCGGCGTTCCCGAGCGTCCGCGGAATCGCACGAGCTAAGACGCGAGCCAGCAGTCGCTCGCTCGCCGCCACGCCGATAGGATTGTTTGATGCGGGAGCTAATGCAGACTTTATGACGATGCATTTCGAATTATTGCCATATATTTTTTGCATTTTTTAATTATGTAATAGCGATGGTATGTTTTTTTAAATATGTAGGTTAAATGTCGATTGATCTCCAGATTACTAAAATGTATTTTTTGATAAATTTCTATATTAAGCAAATATTTATCGAGTTTTTTTTATCTCTTGTATGAAATTGTTTTCTTTTTTAAATTAATCAAACAGATTTCTTTTAATATATTGACGAAACAAAATTGCTTGATATTTGAAATTTTAAAATACAAAACATTACTTTAGATTTCTATTCGTTTATATTGATTTTTATAAATATTTTGCTAAACAAATAATAATTTTACAATAATTATATATTTCTATCTATACTGTTTTCATATTAACAAAGAGAAAGATTTGTATTTAAAAAATTATTAATTAATGAGATATTTAAATTTATCTCTAGATTTTGTATGTTTTCGCAATAACGTAATAATATTTTTGAAAAGTTAGATAAATTTACTTATTTTATTTTTCAATAAAAGTGCTACTTTTTAGCTTACAAATATTATAGAAATTATTTCTAAAGAAGTTATTTTTTAGTAATATTTCTATTGTATACATATTGAGACATGTATTATATGAATGACATGTAAGAGTGATAAAGATATGAATATTTGCTATGTGTGTATGAATATATATTATAGATATATTTCTAATACTTACAATTCTCTTGTGTTATTATCTTTTAAATTTACTTATGTATATGTGTTCCTATGAAAATTAAACGGTTAGTATATATTTTACCACTTACAAAACATTTATATTTATCTAGGTAAAATGACTGTCTGATATTTTCTCTTATTATATAAAAAACTTGAGAGATTACATATCTTTATATATAAAAAACCTGATTACCTATTTTTTTGTATTATTCCTTTTTGTTGCTTTTTAAGAAATAAGGATATACACAAAAAAATACTTATTGTGATATAACACCATGCACTTCAATCTCATATAAAATGATATAAATAATAAACAGACATTTATCTTTGAAAAGATATAGATTTCATATTGCAATATACTTGTTAATTAACTATTAATAATATACTTGTTAATTACATTAGGATAACTTCAACTAAAATTAGCTTACGTATATATATGCAAATAAAACTGCATGCACGTGTGTGTAATAAATGTTATATTGTGTATTTTGATATAAAAATATTTTATAACGTTTTTAAAGAAAGTTATTTTTTTTATTAAATGTATTTATTAGATATTTAATGAAAATTTTTTTATTAAATACCTACATATTTATATTTACGATTATATAGTCAATCTAATGCAAACCTGTAACATGTTCTCTATAATTTATTTTAGTTATTAAAAAATTATTATTTTTTTAAATTTTAATTTTTATAAATGTTTAAATAATAAAACTAGTTTAGTATATAAAAACATAAAAATTATGGCATTATACTATCCGCTATAACATTACTCAAAATAAAGTTGTGATCTATAAAAGATTCGCTTTTTTCTAATATTTTTTCTCGAAAATAGAAAGTAAAATAAATAGGAATATTTTTATTGAAGCTGTAGAATTCAGTTTTTACACGTCTTTTGATACTTCAACAAGTTCAAAGACGAAACTGATCACTTTAGCCGAACTATGCCAACATTCAATACTTATTAGGTTCAAAATAGAACAATGCAGTGTCTGACTCAATGCAGCTCGTATCTACTGATCCATTAAGTGGCGCCGCTCGCTGGTAGCAGATTGAACTAGGGTGATTGCGATGCTAAGCTTCGACCGAATACCGAAAGGATTCCCTCACTGTTTTCGGTAACATTGATGCAGGGCAAGGACAGGAGTTGGGTTTATCTTATTGAAACCTTTTTGATTGAAGTGAAGAAAGGGATGGGAGAAGTTTACGAGCGCCCGAATTTCTTATAAACATGATAATTTGATTTGTCTAACTTTAAGATTGCATGATATCATGGTCCAGAATATCATAAGTGTATACAAAATGATGATTGCATTTCAAATATCTTTTTGCATAATTTTATCAATATACTATTATACGATATACTCTACTATTAAAATGTTTCAATAATTAATAACTGTAAATTTAAAATTAGTAAGTAAATATTTTTTATACAATCTAATATTTATGTAAAAAACCTTTGCTATTAATTGAAGGAATTGTTATTTATGCTCACTGATAATTAGACGCGATTTATTAAACTTCAAATTACGGTTTATTGGCGTTAACATTTTGTATTTGCAATGTAGTTGTTTGAATCATTTGATATATGAAAGAGATAATTTCATGTTTTCACGCATGGTCTAAAATGACATTTGTGGTATTAATGAAAAGTTTCAAAATGCTTCATATAACAAAGCTTTAAAACATTGTGCATATTGATATCATTCTGTATTTAATCTCTGATATTGTCGCTAATTACAGAGCTAACTGTTCTGTAATTTGGCGCAAACGCGATTCGTTTTATACATGTAATTTTGTAATAAACAGAAACAAGTAAAATTATAAAGCACATTATCGTACGATTAAATGGAAAGTCAATGTTTAGCTTCCACAATTTCGGTATCAAATTACAGTTTATGTAAGCCATTAATGCACTTATATAAATCGCTAAATTGGCATTTAAAATTTGTTTCTGGAGACATAATTATTTGCGCTTAAATTCTTTAGAGATTTAATACGAGCTATTCCTGTAGTTTCTTTTTTTACTTATATTGTTGGTTTTTTAGAAGATTTTATATTAACAAACCAGAAATATATCTATTCAGAAAAATTTAAATACCTTTTAATGAGATTAACTCTGTATAACACATAATGCTTCATGATATCAGTTAAGATTAATCATTTTTTTAATTTTGTAACTTTACAATTACGCAAAATGAAATTTAAATCCTAGAGAAGAGGATATGGATTGGCACTTTTGGCACCAATACGAGAGAATGCCATAAGATATTTGAGAAATATCTTAGTGGCTTGTAGACGACTTTGGCTCATGTTCAAACTTATAAATAATTCCGTTTGCGATCGCGATCGCCATACTTGTCTACAAGACGTAGGGGACAAAGTGACATGCGAAACGCAAGGTGGTGCGATCCTGAGCACAGGGAATCTATGAAGCATTGGCGTTAGACAGCCAAGAGGGAATCTACAGCTATTGACTTTCATTGCAATATAGATCTTGTTGTGACTCCATTAGAATTACTATAGCTTTATTCTTTTCTCTACGCAAGATGATATTGCTATCCTGCAAGAACATTTTTATATAATTTAATATTTTTTTTTATATAAACGGATTCTGAACAGATTGCATATATTATTTGTTTACGAAGTATTCTTCATTATCTAGTACAAACTAAGCGATTTATTGTGTTTGCTTTACTTATTTCGGAAGAGAAATAACTTTGAATATTTACACAGAGAGAAAGATCAATATTCTTGCAGGAAATGTTAACTTGTATTAAGTAAGTCTTTTTAAATAAAGTAACGCGATATTGGATAAAGATCGTATTATATCTCCCTTGTTATTATATTCATTAAGGAAGAGTATTGAACCAAAGTATGTTACATTGCGCGAGACAAGATTCCTCATTATGTTAGAATAACGAAGAACAATAACAAGGCAAAGCCTACATGATACATCGCGATGATTCGGTCTGTCATATGTTTTTTAGATTAGAATTTTGTTTGATGCAACATCTTCGACGTCACGGTGTGGTTGAGCAGAGCTAATTACAGATAACATGGCAAAAGAACAACAACGTGGCCGGAAAGCAATTTTTATTTTCCGCATATTAGTTTAAATTCCATCATAAATTGGCTCTTTCACGGAAGAGAGCCCGGAGATGGGGCTCCAAAATGGAACGAAGACTGGCGGGAAACCGCCGAGTTCCGTGATGGAGCGAGCTGGGAACGAGAGACGAACCGGGCTTACACGCAGATGGAAGATAGAAGGACGGAGGATGAGCCTCGGGCGATTTGCTCGACATTGCTATGTTGCAGTAATTGCAGCTAATTAAGAGCTTGAACTCTCTCGTCTCTCTTCTCTCTATCCTAGGGCCCCCGTGCCGGGTCTTCTCCAGAGGGCACGCAGTAACCTCTGCACGCTACATCTTTCTGTCCGCCTAACCGCCGCCGTCTTGTCTACCGTCGGAGAGACAGTATATCGCAGTGTCGCTCGACTACCTCTCGATCAACGAAGAGGATGTTTTGCAAGGACAAATATCGTTTTTTTCTTTCTTTGACTTTTTCAGGATAATGTAATTGCCACTATATCTTACCGCCGACGGGATATTATCGAATATATTATTGTAGGAAATATACTTTCTAAGTACAATGATTGAGATTAACTACTTTGAAAAGCACGTTTATCTGAATTCGACGCAAGTGATAAGTTATATCATATTATGACAAAACGATAATAAGATTTACATTTGCAACGCAGAGATTTTTTATATTTGGAACTTAATTAACTGTTTTATAAGAACTGATTATTTGAATTTATGTCGTTTCTCGCATATAAAAATTTATTCGTTAACATTTGTTAATTCTATCTAGAACAATTTTTTATATTTTAAATTAATGTATGCACATTATTCTATTATGCTATGGAAATATGAGATTAATATATAATTTTTAATTTGCAAACTTTATATATCCAAAATTGTAATCTAAAATATTTGAAAATAATTTTTTTTTAGATTACATTACCGTTTCTTTTTTACCAATTTATAAATATTTATGCCATCCCGCAAGTCGATTTTAGCACACA